AACTAGAACTGAACTAGACTGAACTAGAACTCAACTAGAACTGAACTTGAACTGTACTAGAACTGAACTAGAACTTATACATTATTTTGTCAATTTTAATTTTTTTTTTTTTTTTAATTTCTCACTATTTTACGACAATTTACAGTAAAAATTTTAAACATTCCTTCAATTTGTAAAATTCTGTACATCAATATTGCTAATTTCATTATTATTCTCTAATCAATCATTATATTATTAAGTAAATAAAACCATTTCCTTAAAACGCAGAGAATAACATTATAAGACTCCACCATTAAAATAATTGTGTGATTAATATTAAATAAATATGATTATAAACTACAATTTAGCTTTTTTATTTGCTTTAGAAAAAATATGCAACATTAAACCATCAATCATAATAAATTAAAACTGAAGGTTTCATATTCGAAGAAAACGTAATTTTTTATTAAAGTGCAAATTATTTATATTCAAATTACTAGCAAATGGAATTAATATTGATTATATGCATACAAGGAAATTTATAAAGTCATTGTCATAATTTGTTAGACATTGATGTTATATTTTAAATAAATATACAAAAAATATTTTTTTGAGAAAACATAGACGTATGAGTAATATTTAATTTTGAAATTTCCCTTAATATTAATCATACGTAGTGTATGACCAAGAAGGTTAAATAGCCATAACTTTAAAAGTACTAATCCAAAAAGACACCAGTATATAACAATATTATAAAGGAGAACATAAACTTTTCTCAAAATTTATATAAAACTCAAATATTTGCCGAGAAAGTTGGGAATATTTAAAAATAACAAATTCCCATTTTGTGATTTTGGAAAGTTGTACTAAATTAAAGAAAATAAAGTATAATTTAATCCTTTAACTGACTTTATCTATAAAGATACTGTCTTCAACAAAAATGTCCTAAAACAATAAAACATGTTAAACAAGCCTTTTCCTAAAACAATAACCCCTATTTTTTCTTGTTAAAATTATGTTAACCTTTGGCAAAAACGTATTTGTATTTTTAACATAAAACACTTTTTTTTCAACAACCCAATGACATTGAGATGTAATGAAATAAAAATAAAGAACTATAAAAACTATTATCTACTGCATGTTGTTTATCTCACAAAAAAAGAGTTAAAGTCAATTTTTCCATTCACAATACAATAAAATTCTTTTAACATTCAATTATGTTGTCATTTAAATGAACAAAAATATTTGAAAATAAAATAACTGCTCAAGTTTGTTAGTCCATTTTTAACAGTTCAAGAAACATTTCTAACTAAACGAATTTATAGAGTGGAAAGAAAATAAAATAAATACAGACTTGTTTTCGACAAATGATTTTCTTTTATTTAAGAAAAATTTAAATAAAAAATTGGAAATACAACACTAATTTTGTAATTTACTAAAGAAAGGAAATTTTGCAGAACATTTACTAAAGAAAGGAAATTTTGCAGAACATTTACTAAAGAAAGGAAATTTTGCAGAAAATTTACTAAAGAAAGCGAATTTCCAAAAATTTTCTAAAGAAAGCGAATTTTCCAAAAATTTTCTAAAGAAAGAAAATTTTCCAAAAATTTTCTAAAGAAAGAAATTTTCCAAAAATTTTCTAAAGAAAGAAAATTTTCCAAAAATTTTCTAAAGAAGGAAAATTTTCCAAAAATTTTCTAAAGAAGGAAAATTTTCCAAAATTTTCTAAAGAAGGAAAATTTTCCAAAATTTTCTAAGAAAGAAAATTTTCCAAAAATTTTCTAAAGAAGGAAAATTTTCCAAAAATTTTCTAAAGAAAGAAAATTTTCCAAAAATTTTCTAAAGAAAGAAAATTTTCCAAAAATTTTCTAAAGAAAGAAAATTTTCCAAAAATTTTCTAAAGAAAGAAAATTTTCCAAAAATTTTCTAGAGAAATAAAATTTTCCAAAAATTTTCTAAAGAAAGAAAATTTCCTAAAGAAAGGAAATTTTGCAGAAAATTTAGTAAAGAAAGCAAATTTTTTAGAAAATTTACTAAAGAAAGCAAATTTTGTAGAAAATTACTAAAGAAAGCTAATTTTGCACAAATGATTTTCTTTTATTTAAGAAAAATTTTAATTAAATTGGAAATACAACACTAATTTTGTAATTTACTAAAGAAAGAAAAATTTGCAGAAAATTTCCTAAAGAAAGGAAAATTTTCAAAAATTTATTAAATTAAGCGAATTTTCCAAAATTTTACTAAAGAAAGCGTATTTTCCAAAATTTTACTAAAGAAAGCGAATTTTCCAATAATTTACTAAAGAAAGCGAAGTTTCCAAAAATTTCCTAAGAAAGCAAATTTTCAAAATTTCCTAAAGAAAGGATATTTGCCAATAATTTCCTAAAGAAAGGATATTTGCCAATAATTTCCTAAAGAAAGGAAATTTTCAAATAAGTTCCTAAAGAAAGGAAATTTTCCAAAAATTTCCTAAAGAAAGGAAATTTTCCAAAAATTTCCTAAAGAAAGGAAATTTTCCAAAAATTTCCTAAAGAAAGGAAATTTTCCAAAAATTTCCTAAAGAAAGGAAATTTTCCAAAAATTTCCTAAAGAAAGGAAATTTTCCAAAAATTTCCTAAAGAAAGGAAATTTTCCAAAAATTTACTAAGAAAGGAAATTTTCCAAAAAATTACTAAAGAAAGGAAATTTTCCAAAAATTTACTAAAGAAAGGAAATTTTCCAAAAATTTACTAAAGAAAGGAAATTTTCCAAAAATTTACTAAAGAAAGGAAATTTTCCAAAAATTTACTAAAGAAAGGAAATTTTCCAAAAATTTACTAAAGAAAGGAAATTTTTCAAAAATTTCCTAAAAAAAAGGAAATTTTCCAAAAGATTCCTAAAGAAAGCGAATTTTCAAAAAATTTACCAATGAAAGCGAATTTTCCAACAATTTACTAAAGAAAGCGAATTTTCCAAAAATTTCCTAAAGAAAGAAAATTTTCCAAAAATTTCCTAACGAAAGAAAATTTCCTAAAGAAAGAAAATTTTCCAAAAATTTCCTAAAGAAAGAAAATTTTCCAAAAATTTCCTAAAGAAGGAAAATTTTCCAAAAATTTCCTAAAGAAAGCAAATTTTTCAAAAATTTCCTAAAGAAAGCTAATTTTTCAAAAATTTCCTAAAGAAAGCAAATTTTTCAAAAATTTCCTAAAGAAAGCAAATTTTTCAAAAATTTCCTAAAGAAAGGAAATTTTTCAAAAATTTCCTAAAGAAAGGAAATTTTTCAGTAATTAAAAATTTTCAAAAAATTTACCAAAGAAAGCGAATTTTCCAACAATTTACTAAAGAAAGCGAATTTTCCAAAAATTTCCTAAAGAAAGAAAATTTTCCAAAAATTTCCTAACGAAAGAAAATTTCCTAAAGAAAGAAAATTTTCCAAAAATTTCCTAAAGAAAGCAAATTTTTCAAAAATTTCCTAAAGAAAGCTAATTTTTCAAAAATTTCCTAAAGAAAGCAAATTTTTCAAGAATTTCCTAAAGAAAGGAAATTTTTCAGTAATACCTAAAGAAAGGAAATTTTTCAGTAATTACCTAAAGAAAGAAAATTTTTCAAACATTTTCTAAAGAAAGGAAATTTTCCAAAAATTTCCTAAAGAAAGATAATTTTCCAAAAATTTACTAAAGAATGAAATTTACTTGAAGTTTATTTTCCTATTCAGATTAGTATCTTTAATTTATTTAATTTTTGTGCATTTTTTTAAAATTTTAATAAATATTTCTAAACAAAGTTTTAACTTCATTTAGCAAATGTGAGAAAAAGTTTCCGGGCACATTTTTTGTATTTAATTCAAAACTAAACTGAAGGAAAATTAAAAAAATTTTTATATTTGTGGCAGTAAAAGTTAAGAATTATAATTTTATTACTTTAAACGAAAAGTTTGGTGTCTAGCTGCAAATTGTGTTTCGCTAAGTTTAGTTTAGTTTTTTTTATGGCTTGAATTAGTTTTAAATGCAAATTGGAAAAACAACGAGCAATAAAACTAAGATTTTTGCAATGGTCGTATAAAATTCTAGAAAATAAGAAAGAATAGTACACAAAAAACAAGCTAAAAAATATGTTTAAGTATAAAGTGCATGTATGTATGCGTATGATTAATATTGAAGACATTTCTGCTATTAATTATACGCCTCCTGTGTTTTATATCGAAAAATCAATATTGTTTAAGGTTAATGTTAAATTTTAACCGAAACAATTTCTTCCAAAAATATATATACAATTTATTCTCCTTTGTGTAACAAGCACCATTATATCCAGCCAATTGCTATTGTGTTTCCCTTTAACAAATAGACTTTAAGAGGAAACTGTGATAAGTACTTACACAACTTAAGTGTTTTAATTAATGAGATTTTTGACATTCATTCTCTGAAAAGTGTCAGCAAAAACTGTTGCTATTATTTCGCCTCATAAAGTGAAATACTGAAAATATCTAAATAATTATGCAAATTTTGCCAATTAATTATTTATGCTTAAACAGTAAATGATTTCTTAAGGGAAATCACCATGACATTCCGGTTAGCAAAGAAAGATTATAATAGAAAATTTTCACAAAATGAATGATTGTAAGTGTAAGTGAATGAGCAAATGAATGAATGAATTGTTATTAATTACAACACCCAGGTGATGGAAGACAAATGACAAGAGCAATAAAATGACAGCATAAATAAGACATAAATGAAATGAAGACATTAAATGTAAATAACTTTGCAGCAATACTAAGGACATGCTATTAATATCCTTTAATATAGGAAAATATATTCAATTGAATTTTCATGTTGTGTCATAAAATGTAAATGTCATCATTCAATTAAGTCAGTACTTAACTATACTTAAACCTCAATTTGAAATTTTGGAAAAATCAAGGAAAAATGTTTTCGTTTTTCTCTAGTGACCTTTAAATTTAGGTTTTCCTTACTTTTATTGTTAAATTTTCTTTCCTAACTTAAGTGATGTCTTTTAAAATTTTGTAATTTTTCTTTCATTTTTAGAAGCCTGTCATCCTTATGAACCATTTAAGTGTCCTGGTGATGGTAACTGTATATCAATACAATACTTGTGTGACGGTGCTCCAGATTGTTCGGATGGCTATGATGAGGATGCAAGACTATGTACAGCAGGTGAGTGTAAACTGGAACAGAGACACAAAATAATTGAAAACTTAAGTCCAGAAAGAAAAAAATATATATATTTCTAACCACTACACACAATTATAACTTCTAAAAAGCTTTTGTTTAAAATCTTGTATTTAATTTTTTATTAGATTTCTAGTTCTCTTTGTAACATAATTAATTTACGAATATCTTGTTTATTAAATTCTTTTACGACAAAATGAAATTTTATTACAATTTCCACAAATTGCATTAGCTATCTCAAAGGAGACTTAATCAATAAACAAAAAAACTAAATTAGAACTACCAGTTTACCACTGCATTCCTAGAAAAAATCAACATTTTTAGAAAAAAAAAACTCAAAAATTTGTTAAACAAAACTAAAAACTAAACATGCTTCCCCTCTCACAACAATACCTAATATCAGCAACAAATGTAAAACAATGTTCAAACCCGGCAATTGCATTAAACAAATATACACACAAAAAACAAAGTACACAAAGAATCACTTCCTAAACATCACTTTCCTTTTACAAATACCAATGTAATAAAACAATATGTAGAGAGCAACAAGAGAACTAATCAATTTACAAAACTCAACTAAAGTTTAGCCTAAAGATATTGCTGTATATTTATCAAACCAATTCAGTGCGAGTGGTAGTAGTAGTATTGTTGCCAGTACTTTTGTGGACAAAGAAATGAAACAAATACTGCAGTTTGTTACTGCTGAAGACCAATAAACAAACGAAAATGCACAGTGGCTCCGGTGAAGATTCAAAAAAATGAATAACTAATACATAATAAAAATTTTCGGAAAATGTACCAAAAAGTAATAAAAAAATACTAGTCTCCAGTCTTTGATAAACACTAGTCTAAAATCTGGACTACAGTCTAATCATTAGTTTTGATTATAGGCTAGTCTGGTCCATAGTCTAGTCTATAGTCTAGTCTATAGTCTAGTCTATAGTCTAGTCTATAGTCTAGTCTATAATCTCTAGTCTATTAGGTCTAGTCTATAGTCTAGTCTATAGTCTAGTCTATAGTCTAGTCTATAGTCTAGTCTATAGTCTAGTCTATAGTCTAGTCTATAGTCTAGTCTATAGTCTAGTCTATAGTCTAGTCTATAGTCTAGTCTATAGTCTAGTCTATAGTCTAGTCTATAGTCTAGTCTATAGTCTAGTCTATAGTCTAGTCTATAGTCTAGTCTATAGTCTAGTCTATAGTCTAGTCTATAGTCTAGTCTATAGTCTAGTCTATAGTCTAGTCTATAGTCTAGTCTATAGTCTAGTCTATAGTCTAGTCTATAGTCTAGTCTATAGTCTAGTCTATAGTCTAGTCTATAGTCTAGTCTATAGTCTAGTCTATAGTCTAGTCTATAGTCTAGTCTATAGTCTAGTCTATAGTCTAGTCTAGTCTATAGTCTAGTCTATAGTCTAGTCTATAGTCTAGTCTATAGTCTAGTCTATAGTCTAGTCTATAGTCTAGTCTATAGTCTAGTCTATAGTCTAGTCTATAGTCTAGTCTATAGTCTAGTCTATAGTCTAGTCTATAGTCTAGTCTATAGTCTAGTCTATAGTCTAGTCTATAGTCTAGTCTATAGTCTAGTCTATAGTCTAGTCTATAGTCTAGTCTATAGTCTAGTCTATAGTCTAGTCTATAGTCTAGTCTATAGTCTAGTCTATAGTCTAGTCTATAGTCTCTATAGTCTAGTCTATAGTCTAGTCTATAGTCTAGTCTATAGTCTAGTCTATAGTCTAGTCTATAGTCTAGTCTATAGTCTAGTCTATAGTCTAGTCTATAGTCTAGTCTATAGTCTAGTCTATAGTCTAGTCTATAGTCTAGTCTATAGTCTAGTCTATAGTCTAGTCTATAGTCTAGTCTATAGTCTAGTCTATAGTCTAGTCTATAGTCTAGTCTATAGTCTAGTCTATAGTCTAGTCTATAGTCTAGTCTATAGTCTAGTCTATAGTCTAGTCTATAGTCTAGTCTATAGTCTAGTCTATAGTCTAGTCTATAGTCTAGTCTATAGTCTAGTCTATAGTCTAGTCTATAGTCTAGTCTATAGTCTAGTCTATAGTCTAGTCTATAGTCTAGTCTATAGTCTAGTCTATAGTCTAGTCTAGTCTAGTCTATAGTCTAGTCTATAGTCTAGTCTATAGTCTAGTCTATAGTCTAGTCTATAGTCTAGTCTATAGTCTAGTCTATAGTCTAGTCTATGTCTAGTCTATAGTCTAGTCTATAGTCTAGTCTAGTCTAGTCTAGTCTATAGTCTAGTCTAGTCTATAGTCTAGTCTAGTCTATAGTCTAGTCTAGTATAGATAGTCTAGTCTAGTCTAGTCTAGTCTATAGTCTAGTCTAGTCTATAGTCTAGTCTATAGTCTAGTCTAGTCTATAGTCTAGTCTAGTCTATAGTCTAGTCTAGTCTAGTTATAGTCTAGTCTAGTCTAGTCTATAGTCTAGTCTATAGTCTAGTCTAGTCTATAGTCTAGTCTAGTCTATAGTCTAGTCTATAGTCTAGTCTATAGTCTAGTCTATAGTCTAGTCTATAGTCTAGTCTATAGTCTAGTCTATAGTCTAGTCTATAGTCTAGTCTATAGTCTAGTCTATAGTCTAGTCTATAGTCTAGTCTATAGTCTAGTCTATAGTCTAGTCTATAGTCTAGTCTATAGTCTAGTCTATAGTCTAGTCTATAGTCTAGTCTATAGTCTAGTCTATAGTCTAGTCTATAGTCTAGTCTATAGTCTAGTCTATAGTCTAGTCTATAGTCTAGTCTATAGTCTAGTCTATAGTCTAGTCTATAGTCTAGTTATGTCTAGTCTATAGTCTAGTCTATAGTCTAGTCTATAGTCTAGTCTATAGTCTAGTCTATAGTCTAGTCTATAGTCTAGTCTAGTCTAGTCTATAGTCTAGTCTATAGTCTAGTCTATAGTCTAGTCTATAGTCTAGTCTATAGTCTAGTCTATAGTCTAGTCTATAGTCTAGTCTATAGTATAGTCTATAGTCTAGTCTATAGTCTAGTCTATAGTCTAGTCTATAGTCTAGTCTATAGTCTAGTCTATAGTCTAGTCTATAGTCTAGTCTATAGTCTAGTCTATAGTCTAGTCTATAGTCTGTCTATAGTCTAGTCTATAGTCTAGTCTATAGTCTAGTCTATAGTCTAGTCTATAGTCTAGTCTATAGTCTAGTCTATAGTCTAGTCTATAGTCTAGTCTATAGTCTAGTCTATAGTCTAGTCTATAGTCTAGTCTATAGTCTAGTCTATAGTCTAGTCTATAGTCTAGTCTATAGTCTAGTCTATAGTCTAGTCTATAGTCTAGTCTATAGTCTAGTCTATAGTCTAGTCTATAGTCTAGTCTATAGTCTAGTCTATAGTCTAGTCTATAGTCTAGTCTATAGTCTAGTCTATAGTCTAGTCTATAGTCTAGTCTATAGTCTAGTCTATAGTCTAGTCTATAGTCTAGTCTATAGTCTAGTCTATAGTCTAGTCTATAGTCTAGTCTATAGTCTAGTCTATAGTCTAGTCTATAGTCTAGTCTATAGTCTAATAGTCTATAGTCTAGTCTATAGTCTAGTCTATAGTCTAGTCTATAGTCTAGTCTATAGTCTAGTCTATAGTCTAGTCTATAGTCTAGTCTATAGTCTAGTCTATAGTCTAGTCTATAGTCTAGTCTATAGTCTAGTCTATAGTCTAGTCTATAGTCTAGTCTATAGTCTAGTCTATAGTCTAGTCTATAGTCTAGTCTATAGTCTAGTCTATAGTCTAGTCTATAGTCTAGTCTATAGTCTAGTCTATAGTCTAGTCTATAGTCTAGTCTATAGTCTAGTCTATAGTCTAGTCTATAGTCTAGTCTATAGTCTAGTCTATAGTATCGTCTATAGTCTAGTCTATAGTCTAGTCCATAGTCTAGTCTATTGTCTAGTCTATAGTCTAGTCTATAGTCTAGTCTATAGTCTAGTCTATAGTCTAGTCTATAGTCTAGTCTATAGTCTAGTATAGTCTAGTCTATAGTCTAGTCTATAGTCTAGTCTATAGTCTAGTCTATAGTCTAGTCTATAGTCTAGTCTATAGTCTAGTCTATAGTCTAGTCTATAGTCTAGTCTATAGTCTAGTCTATAGTCTAGTCTATAGTCTAGTCTAGTCTAGTCTATAGTCTAGTCTAGTCTAGTCTATAGTCTAGTCTAGTCTATAGTCTAGTCTAGTCTATAGTCTAGTCTAGTCTATAGTATAGTCTAGTCTATAGTCTAGTCTATAGTCTAGTCTATAGTCTAGTCTATAGTCTAGTCTAGTCTATAGTCTAGTCTAGTCTATAGTCTAGTCTAGTCTATAGTCTAGTCTAGTCTATAGTCTAGTCTAGTCTATAGTCTAGTCTAGTCTATAGTCTAGTCTAGTCTAGTCTATAGTCTAGTCTATAGTCTAGTCTATAGTCTAGTCTATAGTCTAGTCTATAGTCTAGTCTATCGTCTAGTCTCTATAGTCTAGTCTATATAGTCTAGTCTATAGTCTAGTCTATAGTCTAGTCATAGTCTAGTCTATAGTCTAGTCTATAGTCTAGTCTATAGTCTAGTCTATAGTCTAGTCTATAGTCTAGTCTATAGTCTAGTCTATAGTCTAGTCTATAGTCTAGTCTATAGTCTAGTCTATAGTCTAGTCTATAGTCTAGTCTATAGTCTAGTCTATAGTCTAGTCTATAGTCTAGTCTATAGTCTAGTCTATAGTCTAGTCTATAGTCTAGTCTATAGTCTAGTCTATAGTCTAGTCTATAGTCTAGTCTATAGTCTAGTCTATAGTCTAGTCTATAGTCTAGTCTATAGTCTAGTCTATAGTCTAGTCTATAGTCTAGTCTATAGTCTAGTCTATAGTCTAGTCTATAGTCTAGTCTATAGTCTAGTCTATAGTCTAGTCTATAGTCTAGTCTATAGTCTAGTCTATAGTCTAGTCTATAGTCTAGTCTATAGTCTAGTCTATAGTCTAGTCTATAGTCTAGTCTATAGTCTAGTCTATAGTCTAG